AAAGAGTTGTCGCAAATCGTGCCACGCTTTTCTTGAGAAGTTTTCGAATTTGACGCCATTAAGTTTTGAATTAAAGTTTTAGTCAGTTAATTCTAGGCGGTGACCAACCTCTTTAAACATATTCGTCCCCCCTCCTGATAAATATTGCGCAGTCCCTCACTTTAACTGGTTGATAACTTTATTTATTGGTCATATTGGTGTGATGAACATTCTTTTTTCATCGTTGATCAGGAAAAGATGGGGTTTATCATAGGGGATCGAAGACTTAATTCAAAACATCTCTGAACTGAAGTTAGTTGATAACTAAATCGTATTTAGCACTACATAGTTAAGAATTGTTTCAAGCTTATGTGCCTTGCACTCTATAATCCCATGCAATATAATTGTATAGCACATAGCCTTGTCTCGTGATCTTGTTATTTACTATGGCTCTGTGGGGGCTGGGAAGTATGTACCCCGTGTCAATATGGCGGACAAACATGGCCGACGGCGGTGAGGCTAAGTTTTCCTTTATAAAGAGAAATTCTAGCACAAATAAGCTAAAAGTCGTCTATTTGAAGGGTTACGGAAATGATTTTGTGAGCTGAAGGCTGGATTGATAAAGCGTTTAGTCACTGAAGGTAAGCTCATTTAACGTTTGAAAACTTTCGAAAGGAAAAATGTTTAGCTTTTTTTTATGTTTCCCCCTATTCTAGATTTGAAACTATCTACGGAATGAATGACATCTACCAAATTATTACGCACTTAATCACATATCCATTGTGACACCACAGATATTGAATTATGAGGAGGAGCCGACGGGTTCCTGGGAGAAATATATCTGTTCTTATGTCCCAGCCAGCTGTAAGTCACAGCTGGTTGCCAGCGAGAAATTCAGAAAAAAAGAACTCTCCAGGCAAGGAATGCTTTCTAAGAATTTTTGTCAGGAAAATAAAAATTTGTTAACTAAAAAAATATGAGCAGTTTTTGACCATAAAAACATCATGTAAGCCTTTTTGACCATAAAAACGTTTGCCAGGAACAAAATTATTTTTAAGACTAGAAAGGGCGCCACATTTCCGTGTGAGTTTGTCAAAAATGTAGCTCAAAATCCCTTTCCCAGGAAAAAATTCGTACAAGAACAGTTATTTAGAAGAACAGACCCCGTCGTCTCCTCCTGAATTATCTGAATATTTTTAAATCGATGTGTGGTCTACGCCTGTGAGAGAGGCTATGTGTGTGGTCATGATATTCGTCATTTTAATTCTTTAACTTTACACATGTTGTTATTGTCTTAGCTGTTTCTGATGCATGCATGTTTTCCTTTTTCTTTCAGCTCCTAACTACCCTGCATGCAGCACGTATTTGCATTGTAATTAATTCATGCACCAGAGGAGATATCAGTAGTATCCCTTTATGCTTTGCGCGCGTGGTTTGTTGACAAAATGGCTACTATTTCCGGTGATATGCCGGGTAGTAAGTTTCCGGTCCAGACAATTGTCTTTTTTGCATCTTAACAAGGGAAGTTCCGAAAATATTTGCTGTCTGATTAATTTTCTTTGTATTTCTCTTAATTTTTTGAAGTAATGTTTGTTTTAAGTATGAGAAAATTGCTGTTTTGTAGTTGACATTCGCGGTTTCAATTTAAGTTATATAACATGACGATCGGTTCAAAAAAAGTGCTGTTTTTACACTTGTTCTTTGAGCTATTTAAGTTTTGTTAAGTCAGATCTATAGAAAATAAGTCATACGAAGCTACAGTCAAAAAAGTCTCAAAAAGTCTCCATGATTTCAAGTGCTAAACAGAGCTTGAAAACCCTTGAAATTTGCTAAGTTCGTGTGAGTCGCGTATCTTGATTAGGCGTAAGGTTGATATCGCTACCAGCGAGCTATGCTACAGTTTCGTCCATACAAATAAGTTAATCATAAAACACACTGAAATACAAGTGTCAAAGTACACATCAGTATATTTTTAACCTCTTTTTCATTGAACGATTTTCAATATAAAACATGTCCAAAAGAACAAAACTCGTGTCACTGTAAGCAATGAGTTTACAAATCGCGCATTTGGTTTATTTTTTG